AAATGACCAAAGCTCTTTAAACTGAAGAGCCGAGTCCTTGCTCTTTGTGCCACGAGAATGCCCCGAGGCAGGGCTGTTTTCCTCCTTTGGGTACCTGATGCACGGCAGCAGCAATAAATGGAAACGGGGATGTTTCCCTAAGGATGTTTCGTCGGCTCCGGGTTCCAGACCCGGTGCCGAGTGTGTCACGTTTGCGATTTCAGGCCCCGGCGGCGTTGGAGAGCCACGCCGCTTGCTTTTCTGCGCAAGAGTGGGAGAATCTGGAGGAATGGCAGAGGGAGCTGTACAAAACCGTGCTGAGAGGGAAGAACGAGTCTCTGATCTCTCTGGGTGAGTGTCCCTTTCTCAGTCAGTTATCGGCGCCTCCGGACTGGCTCCGTTTTGGGGGCTTTTTCCCACACCTGGGAAGCAGATTTGTAGAAACACGGAGAAGTCGGTGCCTGTTGCTGAGGGCAGCGCGGCGCGTCCAGTCCCTCCGTCTCCAGCTCTCGCTGGCTCTTGGGCGCTGGCTGCGGTCACCTCCGTGTCACGGCCCGCTCCCTGCGGTGCCCGGCGCCAGCGCAGCCCGCAGGCCCCTGCCGGCATGTTGTGGCCGATGGAGCCGGTTCGGGGAGCGCGGCTGAGCGAGTTCTTCCCCGCGGACTCCGCTCGCCCCATCCAGGCTCCTTCCCTCACCTGGCGCAAACGGCAGTGGGGGCAGTTTGATGCGGCACGGAAACCTTAGTATCTCCGTTCCTCAACAGATGACGCAATCTCCAAACCTGACCTCCTGTCCCGGCTTCAGAGAGGAGAAGCGCCCTGCAACGGGGACGGGGCGGCGTCGAGAGAGATTCCAGCAGAACCAAGTGCAGGCAAGAGATGAATTACAACTTTATTCTCAGGCGTGGTGGTGTCACCAGGCAGAGGATGTCACAAGGCGATAGTCAGGACTATCGCCTCTCAGGAGGAGCGGGTTCAGAGGGAGTAACAGAGCGTTAGAAAAAAACGTAACGGGTTTGCTCTTTCCCATTAGCAGAGTCTCTGCTGTTCAGACTCGATGCGGACAGCCAGGACAGCGGAGAAGGAGCGCAGTGCCCGACGGGACAGGAAAGCCTGGAGGGAAGAACAATGCTGGCTGAACCCAGACCCGGTGAGCGTTGTTCTGAAAGGGTGTGCTTGGACACACGGGCAGGGAGGGGACACTCCTGAAACGGCAGGTAAAGGGGAAACCGCTT